AGAAGTGTCTGTTTCATATCCTTCGCCACTTTTTGATGGGGTTGTTTGATTTTTTCTTGTAAATTTGATTGAGTTCTTATAGGTTCTGGATATTAGCCCCTTTGTCAGATGAGTAATGCAAAATTTTCTCCATTCTGTAGGTTGGCCTGTTCACTCTGATGGTAGTTTCTTTTGCTGTGCAGAACTCTTTAGTTTAATTAGATCCCATTTGTCAATTTTGGTTTTGTTGCCATTGCTTTTGGTGTTTTTGACATGAAGTCCTTGCCCATGCCTATGTCCTGAATGTATTGCCTAGGTTTTCTTCTAGGTGTTTAGTTTTAGGTCTAACATTTAAGTCTCCTAATCCATCTTGAATTAATTTTCATATAAGGAGTAAGGAAAGGATCAGTTTCAGCTTTCTACTTACGCCCAGCCAATTTTCCCAGCACCATTTATTAAATAGGAATCCTTTCCCCATTTTCTTGTTTTTGTCCAGATTGTCAAAGATCAGAGGCTGTAGATGTGTGGTATTTTTCTGAGGACTCTGTCTGTTCATTGGTCTATATCTCTGTTTTGGTACCAGTATCACGCTGTTTTGGTTACTGTATGCCTTGTAGTAGAGTTTGAAGTCAGGTAGACGTGAGCCTCCAGCTTTGTTCTTTGGACTTAGGATTGTCTTGGAGATGCGGGCTCTTTTGGTTCCATATGGAACTTTAAAGCAGTTTTTTCCAATTCTGTGAAGAAACTCATTGGTAGCTTGATGGAGATGGCATTGAATCTATAAATTACCTTGGCAGTATGGCTATTTTCGATATTGATTCTTCCTATCCATGAGCATGGTATGTTCTTCCATTGTTTGTGTCTCTTTTTATTTCACTGAGCAGGTTTGTAGTTCCTCCTTGGAAGAGGTGCCTTTACCATCCCTTGTAAGTTGGAGTTCTAGGTATTTTATTCTTTGAAGCACAATTGTGAAATAGGAAGTTCATTCATGATTTGGCTCTTGTGTTGTTCTGTTACTGCTGTATAAGAGCTTGTGATTTTTTGCACATTGATTTGTATCATGAGACGTTGAAGTTGTTATCAGCTTAAGGAGATTTTGGCTGGACGATGGGGTTTCTAAATGTACAATCATGGTCATCTGCAAAACAGGTGACCAATATGACTTGCTCTGTCCTAACTGATATCCTTTATTCTCTCCTTCTGCGCTGATTGCCCTAGCCAGAATTTCTACCAAAGAAAAAAAAAAAAAAGGAAAAAGAAAACTTATTTCCAAAACAACAACAATAACAAAAAACACCCTAAAAAAAAAAACTTACTCAGGCCGGGCGCAGTGGCTCATGCTTGTAATCCGAGCACTTTGGGAGGCTGAGGCGGGTGGATCACTTGAGGCCAGGCATTTGAGATCAGGCTGGCCAACAAGATGAGACCAGTCTCTACCAAAATCACAAAAATTAGCTGGGAGTGGTGGCACTTGCCTGTAATCCCAGCTATTCAGGAGGCTGAGGCATGAGAATCACTTGAACCTGGGTGGCGGAGGTTGCTGGAAAAAAAAAAAAGACTCTGTCTTACAAAAAAAAAAAAAAAATTCTTACTCAACACTCCCAAAAAAAAAAAAAGGTGCATTAAGAGAAATATTGATACCAGTAATGTAATACTACAATAGAATAAAAAAAAAAACATTTTTGAGCTCAGACTGTGTATGAGGAACTGTGCCAAATGTTTTGCATAAAAAAAAAAACTAGTTCTTAAGATAATCAATCCATAAAGTTAGACACTCATAATGTCCTCATTTCACATATATGAAAACTAAGGCACAAAGGAAAAGTGAGTGTGGCACAGCCTGGGATGCCAGGTTAAGGACTTTGGACCTTGAATATTTTATTCAGGGAAATGAAATATTTGGGTTTTGGAAAAAAAAAAAGGGTAGTAGTGCATAAGTTGTACTGAAGATAAAAAACACTAAGTGGGCAAAAACTGGTTGGGAGATCTTTTTTCATTCACTCTCCCCATAGATACTCCAACCCTGCAGAGCAAAAAAAAAAAGTTCAAACATGCAAATGACTTAAAATGATCTTGTGTCTTTCTACTTGTTATTTATCTTGAGGCAGTTCCAGTCTTCCCATTGCCCGCCCCACCCATCCCCCCAACAAATTTGTACTTCACCTTTAACAGCTAGTTCATGGATTTTGCTAACATGCCACTTTCTTGTGTGAAAAAAAAAAAAAAAAGCAAGAGCAGGGAGTCAGGAGTCAGAATGATCTGCTCAGCCTCTGACAAAAAAAAAAAATCCCAAGACTGTCACCTCATCTCTATAATGGGAATAATACTAGTTTGCAATGTGGATGTGGAAATTTTAGATGATATTCGTAAGTATTTATTAATTTTGTTTATTTTAGTTAAAAAAAAAAAGTATCTCCCTCCTTTCCAGCCCACCACAGAGATTGAATTGTACCATCTGTATTTTATCATAGATCTTAATCCTATCTGTACACCTTGTCACATTAGGTCAAAATTGCACTAGCTCATGAACAAAGGTTTGTAGCTTTCTCTTGCCTCAAGTAGGTTCTGCCTTCTGGTCCTTGGTGGTAGGCTGAATAATGCCCCTCACCCCTGAGATCCTTGTGTTCTACTCTCTGAACACTAAAAAAAAAAAGCTTAACATGGCAAATATATATGTATCTATAGATAGACAGATAGATAGATAAAAAAAAAAAGATATATAGATGTATTAGAGAACTTGAGTTGGAAAGCGTTTCTGAATTATCCAAGTGAACCCAATGTATTCACAAGCCTCCTATGAGAGTTAAGAGGGATATAAAAGGTAGAAAAAAAAAAAGAGACAGAGGAGAAGTAGAGGTTGGAGTGATGCAGGTTGAAGACTGGGGAAAGGGTTATGAGGCAAGGAATGCAGGTGAAAAAGGAGAGGAAGTAGATTCTCTTCTAGAGCAAAAAAAAAAAATACAGCTCTGGGGACAGCTTGAGTTTAACCTTTAAGACTTACTTTGGACGTGAGACCTCCAGAATTACAAGACAATAAATTTGTATTGGTTAAGCCACTGAGTTTGTGGTAATTTGTTACAGAAGCAACAGGAAACTAATATGCCCACGTTACAACTCCTTCATTTCTCCCCAGTATAGAGCAATGTCTTCCCAAAGGATGAATGAAAATATTACCTCACACTTCTCCTAGTAAAAAAAAAAATAATATCTTCAATGTTAAGGAATTTGTGGGGATAAAAGCAGAGTGTTGCTAAAAAAAAAAATTAAAAAAAAAAAAAAAAAAAAAAAAAAAAAAAAAGCTGTCGAGTAATGCAAAAAAAAAAATAATATTTATTGGCAAGCTAATTTTAACATTCAAGGTAAATATGTAGCTAAAAAAAAAAAAAATCATATAAATGAACAAATATGTATCAGCTAACATATACCACTGAACAAAAAAAAAAAAAATTAAGCCAAGTTTTCCTTCATAATGCTTTTTGCTTAACATTCTGGAAATAAAAAAAAAAAACATTGTGATGTATCAGCATTATTTTTGCAGTATTGTTAAGAAATAGATTAAAAAAAAAAAAACTTGATTTATTTTCTTAATATAAGAAGGATAATACAAACATCAGAAGATTCTTTCACAGTTAGATTGAAAGCGCACACTCAGGCAGCTAGTAGCTAACGCTCCAAATGTAAAAAAAAAAATTTCTTGTACAGCGGGGCTTGCAGGTCCAAGCAAATTTTCCTTCCATTCCTCAGCGTGGCTCTGGCAGGGAAAAGAGAAGAGGTGCGCCTTTCAGTCCTTGGGTTTGCAAAAAAAAAAAAAAGGGGGAGGAATGGGCAAAGGAGGCACGGAGTGGGGGCACTGACTGAGGTAAAAAAAAAAAACACATCAGTTGGGCAGTGGGGCAGTGGGGTCCGGCCTTGATCACCTCCAGGCTGGTGATGTGCCTGGGACAGACCTGGGAGGTGGTCTTCACACACAGGCACTGCAGGTCCCCGTCGTCTTCAGCTTCAGCTGAGGGGGAAAGGGAGGGTGTAAGAGAGGAGGAGGGGACGGAAAAAAAAAAACATGAGTAGCCAGAGGTACTTTAGGCACTTTTTCCACTACCTTCAGCCTTAAAAAAAAAAACCATAAATCATACCTCTCTCAGAAGTTGTGCTGATCAGGTGGCGAGGTGCCCGTGCAGTGCCTGCCACTGTACCCGCACACTCAGCACGCTCGCGGTAAGTGTAGCTGCGAAAAAAAAAAAAGAGGATTCCTCCCCAGCCCCAGAGCTTCCCACATTCCCCCCTCGCCGCTGAAAAAAAAAAAAGTCTGGTTTCTGCTCTCACCGCTGGCGAAGGCGACCATAACTGGCAGGAAAAAAAAAAAAAGGAACAGCATCTCCGGGTAGGTGGCGCGGGACCTGGCTGAGGAGCTCATAAAAAAAAAAAGGTTCCAGCAGGATCCCAGTGCGCAGGGAAAGTCGGGCTGGGGTTCTGCAAAAAAAAAAAACTGGCCTCACCAGTCTTCTTTTATCCTCCGTCCCTGTTCTTCCAGTCCGGAAGCCGGGGGTGGACAGCGAGGAACTGTAGTGCAGGAGCTAAGATACTGCTGTGAAGACTCAAAAAAAAAAAAGCCAAGATTACAAAACAAAAGGCTGGGGGCAGCTGCCTTGACTGGGAGCAAAAAAAAAAATGCTTACCTTCAATCCCAGTTTATATATACTTACATTTGTGGAGTTAGAAAAAAAAAAAAAATCTTAGAAATGTTTTCTGTGTTGTATCATAGTAGAGCTCTCTGTAGTCAAAAAAAAAAAAACACAGCAAGTGGCTTCAGGACCCAGGCAGTTCTTGTTTCCTTCTCAAGAAAAAAAAAAAAGCTCCCGACTTCAGTATTGATTACTACTGAGTTTGGCGGCTGTGTGTTTGAAAAAAAAAAAGTTTGCAATTGTTTTCCGATACTAATAAGTTTAATTTGGTCTCTAGGCGTAAAAAAAAAAAAATTTCACCTGCATGTGGAAAACTTCCCTAGTCGCTGGATGGGATTCACCAGGCTCCACCGACAATCACCCAGTATACTCTAGGACGCAAGGTCTATTTTCTGTAACTGTTAAAAAAAAAAAAGAAGTAATATTTGAATGCATTATTTTTATAAAAACTTAGCTTCTGGATGAAAAAAAAAAACTCCCATCCTGAATAATAGTCAGAAGAGAGGACAAGGAGAGTTTGCCAGGAAAAAAAAAAAGGTGCCTGCTGTTGTCTTCAGTCTGTTCCAGTGACAGGGTGAGATGGGCTGCACTGTTGGTGGGGAGCCGTGATGCTCTCTGCGGGAGGATTCAGGGCATCTGGGAGTTGAAAAAAAAAAAAATGGGAGGTGACAGTGGAGGGGATGCAACAGAATCCCACATGGGAAAGGGAAAAAAAAAAATATCGACTGTCTTCCTTTCTCTAAAAAAGAATGACTTTGGCTCTTGAGCAGGGCAAGGTACACCCTTAACCCAAAGCCCGAGGCTCCCTGTCACACTGACTAACAGTGGTGAAGGGTGTCAGGGACCCACTGGATGGAACTAGCTGATATTCTAATGCTCAGAAAGCCTGCAAAAAAAAAAAAATATGCAATTCTTTCTCCTCCTCTCCCAATACCTGCCTATTCAGCTGGCTAAAAAAAAAAAATATTTCTGGTGTCAGCTTAAATATCACTCCCTGAGGTGGACCTTCCCTGAAAAAAAAAAATAATCGTGTTCCCTTATTGTTCTATCTTGCAGAACTCTGTTTTTCCTATTAAAAAAAAAAAACACAAACATACACACACATATATTGTAGATATATATGTGTGTGTGTGTGAAAAAAAAAAAGTATTTATAGGGATTTAAAATTGTTTTGTTTCTTAGATGGAAAACACTGTGATATTAGATATCATAACGTTTATCACTATTTCAATGTACTGGTAGGGACTCAATGCACAGAAAAAAAAAAAGTGAAGATAATGTGTTGAAAATGATGATGATGAGGCTTTGACATGTTCATAAAAAAAAAAAATTGGAGCAATTAGAGCGTATAATTGGAACATACATCTATATTGACGTGTCACATATGGTCGCAATTATTTGTCCACTAGTCTACCTCTCCCACCAGATAGTGATCTCTTCAAAAAAAAAAATCTGTGACTTATGTACAGTCATGCACCACATAACAATGTTTTGGGCAGTAAAAAAAAAAAAATATGGTGATGATCCCATAAGACTATAGTGGAGCTAAAAATTTCCTATTGAAAAAAAAAAACATTGCTGTTGTAAAATTATAGCAAGCCAATGTATTATTCATGTGTTTGTAAAAAAAAAAATGTAAACAAACCTACTGTGCTTCTAGTTTCATAAAAGTATATCACATACAAAAAAAAAAAATACATAAAGATTAATAATTATAATAAACAATGCTGTATCTGGTTTGTGTAAAAAAAAAAAAGTACTCTTTAATCATTATTTTAGAGTGAACTCCTTCTACTACTAATGGAAGAAGAGTTAACTATGAATCAGCCTCTGGAAGGCCCTTCAGAAAATATTTCAGAAAAAGACATTGTTATTTTAGAAGATGACCACTCCATGTGTCTTATTGTCCATGATACAAGAAATGAATGAAAAAAAAAAAGATTGATGATTCTGATCTTATATAGGCAAATTTGTATGTTTAAGTCTTAGTTTTCAACAGAAAAGTTTAAAAGGTGAAAAAAATTTAAAATTAAAAAGTTTATAGAATGAGAAAAAAAAAAAAAAAATATAATTATAGCTGTATAATGTGTTTGTGTTCTATGTGAAGTATTAAAAAAAAAAAGTCAAAAAATTAAGAGAATTAATACATTTATAAAATAAAAATGTTACAGTAAAAAAAAAAAAATTTATCTTTGAATAAAAAAATATTTTTTAGAAACTTAATGTAGCCTAAAAAAAAAAAAATTATACAGCCTGCGGGATTGGACAGTAATGTCCTGGGACTTCACATTTACTCATCACTCACTCACTGACTCACCCAGAGCAACTTCCAGTCCTACAAGCTCCATTCATGGCAAGTGCTCTCTACAGGTTTACCATTTTCTATTTGACCATACTCCTACCATACCTTTTCTATAAAAAAAAAAATTTAGGCACACACATACTTATCATTGGATTACATTTGCCTACACTATTCAAAAAAAAAAAATACTGTACAGGTTTGTGGCTTAGGAGCAATAGGCCATAACATATGGCCTAAAAAAAAAAAAGGCTATACCAGGTTTATGTAAGTACACTCTATGATGTTTACACAATGAAAACAATTGCCTCATGATGCATATCCCAGAGCGTATCCCCATCGTTAAGCAACATTTGACTGTAAAAAAAAAAATCCGGTATACAACTCAATGGCTGTTGCAGAACATATTGTAATTCCTACATAAAAAAAAAAATGAAAATTAACAGTGCAGAGAATAAATAAAAGGGATGGTTTTACATTTCAATGGACAACATAGAAGGTCTGTACAACCTTATCCCCAGATTTCAACATTGGCAGCATACAGGAATTCAGGCAGCAGCGAGTGGCAATTAAACTACCCTTTCTCCGCATCTAGATAGAATAACAAAAAAAAAAAACACAAAAGTAAGAGACACTTGCATCTCATGAAGAATAAATGTAGTGCCAAAAAAAAAAAATGTCTCAGTAGCTGGCCTTGACAAGTTTCAATGGTAAAACACAAGAGATATGAGTGAGATGCTTGAGCTGCTTTGAATAATTAGGAAAAAAGCTAAAGAGAAGAATTGCAAAAAAAAAAAAATGCTTTATTACGTATTTATGTATAGTTTTGATTAACTGTTATTTAATATAAAAAAAAAAAATATAGACAAAACACTTTAAGGTATCGAACCTATGATGGTGAGGAGATAAAAAAAAAAAAAATTAATAGCACAAAAGTTGTAAACTACATGCTTAGTACATGAGTACTTCCCAAAAAAAAAAATACAGGTTGGAGCAGGTAAACTTATTTCTTCTCCTATAATCATTATAGTAAAAAAAAAAAACTATCTATTTATTAAGTCCTATTTTGTATGCCAATAATACCATGTTATATAAAAAAAAAAATCCTCATTCGAGGAAGAAGAGTTGGGAAAAGTGGCATGGTGCAGTATTGAGAGCGCAGTTTCAAATCCCCACTCTGTCACCTGCTAAGTAATCTAATATTGGGGCAAGGTTAAAAAAAAAAATCAAATTTTTTGTTGTTGTTGTTCCAGAAAATACCATAGTTTTCTTTATAAAAAAAAAAAATATGTTTTCACTATATATTTTTACTCTACTCGTGGCAAATATATTCATTTTAAAGTAAATAATCACAACTTACAAAACTTACATTCAACAACTTTATTATTTTCAGCACTGGAAGGCTAAAATAAACATTAGAAAAAATTTTCAGAGAATGTTGTAAACAAGACATCCTAGCAAAAAAAAAAACTCTATTACATCCCTAAATAGTTTAACAAAAATTTATTGAGCAAATATTCAAAAAAAAAAACTGTGTGAGTTCTTATATCATTGACCATTATAAAGTCTGTTAATTATCATAAAAAAAAAAAGCCTAACAGTAAAATAGAGCAAGAAAAATCAACAAAAATGTGTTTGGAAGGAGATTCTCAAATAAAGAGAGTAAAGCACTGTGCAATGGTTAGCCAGGAATTAGGGAGTAAAAAAAAAAAAATGTTGAAACTAGACTTGCTTATTTTCATCTTTCTGTCATCTTTTAACCAGAAAAAAAAAAATAAAATATGATTTTTGAGACAGAATGGAAAAATACCTGAATTTTAACACAGTAAGAGTAATTTTAACACAGTAAGATAAAATAGGAATTCTAGAAAGTCTTTAAAATCTTGCCCTTCCTGGGAGGTAAAGAGGTTTGGCAGAAAGTGAACAGATTAAGCAGCTGACCCATCACCTTCCAACATTTTCTGGACTATCTTCTTGATTCTGGGAGCTTCTGGGTCCAGGCACATTTTCCTCTCATCTTTCAGCATGACTCTGCAAGAGACAACAGAATTATCTGTTGAGAAACAGAAAAAAAAAAAAATGGGGATGGAGGTGAAGGTGGAGGGCTTTCCTCATGAAGCAATGACACAGAAAAAAAAAAATACAGCACTTAGACTTCGTTGCAATGGACTCCTGACCTGCACTTCCAAATAATGAATGTTGGTGGATCCATCCTAGGTTAGCCCTAATTCCTGGCTAATCATTGCACGGTGAAAAAAAAAAATTATTTGAGAATCTCCTTCCAAATACATTTTTATTGATTTTTCTTGCTCTAAAAAAAAAAAAGACTAGACATGCCCATGATAATTAACAACAAATAAATGTGGATGTTTGGAAAAAAAAAAATGGGATGAATTCCAGAGGCTGACTTCACACACACGCAGTGCAGTTCAATGAAAAAAAAAAAGTCTACACATCGAGCTGGAGTGGAAAATGCGATTAGTGGTCA